ACTTGTGAATCTGTGAAAGCTCTTTCTGAAAAACAAACGTAGGAGTAAGGATCATACAGAATGGAATTTCAAGCTACATACTTAAAATTAGATTGCACAACCTATATCTGTGTTGGTGAGCAGCTACTTACCCAAGCTGTCCTACAGGCTAAACTGAGCAAATTGATATTTCCTCATGCATTTCCTCCTGCATTGATAGGAGTATAATTTGTTCATTAAGTAAATGGTTTAGGTAAAATTTTCTGAAAATTTCACTGTAAAAGTTTAGATGTCTAACACTGAAACAACAAACAACCTATTTCAACATACACTATCCTATCTACTACAGATTCTTCTTCTTCATAAACCAGGAAAGAAAATAAATACTGTTCACTGCCAAGCTTCACACAGAATTACTGTTGCTACCAAATTAGGAATTCTAAATGCCTGATTCCTAATTGGCTACCAGAATCATTAACCTCTTTAGACATCAAGAACAATGAACCTTTGCATTGCTAGCAGATCTAATGCTAACAAATGACTACTTTAATCTCAGTTTTGTTTACAGGTAAATCACTGTTCATCAGCAAAATCTGCTGCCTGAATCTGTTAAAAGTCATTGCAGAGATTAATTAGCTGATTGGTTGATAATTTGATTATGCTATTTCTAAACTTAACAGAGGAAAAGTTTATTTTTGTTGGCTTGCATGTGAGTGCAACTCATCTGCTTGAAAAAAATGCATAAGAACTCAGATGTGTTTAATTATATTCTACTTGGTGATTATTGCTAAGTCTGCCTGGAATCAAACTTGAATGGCCCTTTGCAAGCCATGTACGTGTTGCTGGTGTCTTCTCTCACTGCAACAGATTTGCTTCCTATAGGATGAAAAGTGAGTGCCCGAGGAACAAACATTAGTTTCAGAGCTGAAAAGTGAATACAATGTCCCACCTACCTACATATGAGCAGAGAAACACTTAAAAATCCAGGCATCTGACAGTCACAGGGTTCTGTATGGAAGTAGTAAGGCATTCCTGCATTCTACTGTGTCATCACATTGCCCTTCCTGAAGGCTGTACTAAGGGCCCTAAATTAATGAGCAAACCTCGAAGAGACATTATTTCCTTCCATGAGCAAGTGGAGAAGTTGTGGGAATTGGGGTCGGAAGTAAACATAATCGTCATTCTGCTCCCTTCTGTGTCGGCACAGGGAGCTGGCTGGACATGAGGGAGGGAACGTACTCCATCTGGCAGGGGCTGATGGCACACTCCCCGCTTGTGCAATGTTACAGCTCAGGGGAAATATGATTCAGAGCCTGCCTCTGAGTCACGACTGCTCCCTGAGCTCCTCTGAACGGGCATGGCCACGTTTTGTCCCATCCTGGAAGCACAGCACAGATCCAGCTCACCCTGAGCTCTGAGGTGTGTCAGCAAGCGCTGACTTTGTGAGGGGCACCAAAGCACTGGGCACTGCTTCCCTCTGCAATAATTAAACCAGACTAATATATATTAACGAAAAGGCAACCCCTCACTGCTAGTGACTTTAAACACTTGGTGTTGTCCAAGACGCCTGTGTCGTCCTGCCACACATTTAAGATAATTCCTTACAGACCGATAAGATATATCCACCGCATGTTTGGGAAGGCGAGACGCTGATTCCCTGGAGCTCACGGCATTCCCGCAGCCCAGGGCAGTCCCTGGAGCTCACGGCATTCCCATAGCCCGGGGCAGTCCCTGGAGCTCACTGGAGCGCGCCGTCCGTCCGTCCCCCCGAGTCCCGGGGCGCTCCCAGCGGGGCCGGCACAAAGCCACGTCCTCTGCACTCGCCAGAACGGAGGTGGCAACTCCGGACAGAGCTGCCCTAGGGCCACGCCGCCGCCCAGGTGCCAGAGCCTGTCCCTGGGAGCGGGTGGCAATTCCCTGTTTCTAGTAAGGGATCCCAGATGCTGGACTTCCTTACCTTCCAGCTGCTGACTGTCATCCCATTGTGCCAGCATTGGAGAAGCCAGGCAGCGAGCTGTTCACGTGGCTGGCAGTTGTAATCTTTCCGCACGTCTCAAAGCTCTGAAGAAGTCAGGGATCAGGTAGTCTCTACTTTCTGTCTGATTCCTCTCACTCCTTTCTCCCCCTTCTTTGCTGAAGGACTGGCTTCTTGATCAAATGTTTCCTCTTTTTCCTTCTCCCTTCACTGATTTTGGTCTGCATAGTTGTTTCACACACATAATCCTTGAAATCCAGCAGTAACCCAAGATATTAATCAAAGCTTCTACATTTCTAGATGACCTCAGAAAAACAACACTGACAGTCCTGTTTCTTGAGATACTCAACCCACATAACAGTTCATGTTATAATCCAGTCGACAAACTGAATGTTTATGCTACTCTGATTGGGAATATTTCAGAGCAAAGGTTTCAGCTTGTCCACAGCAAAGCATTTTTAAAAGGATCACAGAAAAGGCACAACAAAAATTTGATTTATCTTGTTTACTCCTTATTTCTCCCTTTGAGGCTACCTGCTAGCCTGAAATGTTCCCTCACTATTTATCTTCCTCCTCAAGCATGTGAAACACAAGAAGACACAATGCTGAGAACACAAAGTCCATACTACTTGGATTCCCAGGGTTTTACTTTATACTGACTTTAACTTGGTCCCATGGACTGTTTATTAGCACGTGGGGTGCACTATGGCTACGCCTGCATCAGCAAGAAATGCAGAACAGTGGAGCAAATCTGGAGGGCAAAGAGTTGGTGCTGAAAACTGAATGTTCACTCTATATGCATTTCAAAATTTACCTAAGAGGAGTTTTAGGCTAGTTCAATGAACAGATAACCCACCATCACGCTTGTGTACCACAGCTTTTGGTCTAATTTCATCTGAAGGGAATTCAGTTTGTGCTCTCCAAGATTGCTACAGGTTACAAACCAAAGTGGGTGAGTAGGGACAAGTGAAAATTAATTTCAAAAGTTAACTTCTAATTCAAATGAAAACATTTGACATGTAGACATGTCATGACTGTACTCCTGGAATGAATCTTTCGGTTTTGATTCATCAAACTTGTGCACAAAGCTGAAAGTACTCACTTATGAACTGTCTAGAGGGCACTTACTTTAACTTCCGCTATTAATTTTTTAAAGTCAAAGAATTACAGACATGCTGGCTAATCCATACATAACACCTTTTGATATATTTGATGTACTGCAAAGAAGGTAATAAGAAAGGTTTATTTGCACATAGCTTGGGAAAAAATGCTTTTCCTTTATGGAAACAGTCTTGTCTGCTCATTACCATGAATAGTTGAAAACTGATACTAATTATACCACTTTTTATTTCCTGTTATATAAGTGAGTGTCTTTAATTTCTGTTCCACTCTGCCATTCTCCAAAGACAATCTGTGAAATTAGTGAATAAGAGTCTGGTTGCTTTAGTAGTTTCCCTGTCTTAATGACCTGGACATAAAGCCAAAAACTGTGTATCGCAAAAGAAACATTAATGTTTCTTTCACTAGCACAGTTGCATAATACATCATGTAATCCCAAAGCTATATATCCCAAACAGCAACTATCCATTAATAGGAGAACAAACAGGCAGAATAATCTTACTATTCATTCATGATCCAGTGAGAAAACGTTGTGCAAATGTGAGTGCATGCCTTTGAAAAACAGCATTCTGTGGTTCTTTTCACTGCGTGGTGACACCATCCCCAATGACACAAAACAGTAAAGAAACCAAGTGTCTGAGTATTTTCTGTAGACAATTATGTGATAGGATTAGATAGATGGTGAAAGGAGTAAAATGGAACAAGTAAACAACCAGATCCTCATTATCAGAGAGGTGCTGAGCACCCACAGCTCCCTCTAAATTAAACTGGGAACTCTTTAATATGTCTGCCTTTAATCTTTGTGCCTGAAAATCTTAAATTCAAATCTATACATTTTCATAAGTGAACATCACCATAATTGCTGTGAAGATTCTGGTATCTTATTTCGACACAGCAAGGAAGGCCTGGATGAGAAATAAGAGCCCATGTAGCTTCTGCCTGGAAATGCTCATGTAGGGGACTCTTGGCACACAGTGGATTCTACACAGCTCTAGGATTGAAGGAAGCCCTCAGGCTGGCTTTGCAATGATTTTTATATAACCCTTGATACCAAAACGCATGAAGTTCTTAGTCATTAACAGATTTTCTCTCTAAAAACATTCTTTTGAGAAAGGGAGGAATTACTATTTCCATTTAATGACTAAGGGATCGAAACAAGATAGATGAAGAGATTTGCCCAAGGATGTAAGGCAGACCTGCTGCAAACTGAAGCAACAGCTTAAAATTCCTCATCTGAGCCTTAAACAGAAGGTATTACTGTCCTCTGGATCTTGGCTAAGAAATGTCATAATAATTTCATTTTCCTATTCCACTGACATACAATGGATGGGGAAGTTTCCTTTTTTGCAGAATAACCTGGGATAACTGGTTAATTTAAAACCACTATTCTATTTGACTTTGTGAGCTACCTTTGCCTCTTGTAAAAACCACATATGACCACACTGTGAGAGCAAGACTGCAAAGAAGTTAATGAGAGCAGGTTACTTTGGAGATGTAAAGAGACTTCTAGGAGAAGAGTTTGGGCCATAAATATACAGTATGAAGAATTACATTAATTTATTTTGCATAAACATTTAGAAATACATGATTAGTGAAAATGTAACACATACAATTAAAAACTATGAACCTTACCTTGCACTCAACATTCTTTGGTTGCTAAATACTTCTGAGCTATTTTTATTCTGAATTTTTACAAAGTTAATTTCTCTTAGTAATATGGAGTTCCTTCTCTTTTATGAACATGTCACAAGTAAGACTGAGTTAGGATTGTATTTTGCTACTCAATAAAACTGATTTGTTTTCTGTCATTTATTGGGTAATTACTCCCATAGGTGCAACTGAGGATGGGCATAATATAGGCTGTTGTAACTAGGAGAAATAAGTAATAAATCATGGGATATCACATCCCAAACTTCTTATATCTTACCTGAGTTAATAATATCACTCTTTGTGGAATTTCACAGACACTTACAGGAACCTACTCCTTGTCCCTCAGTCCTTCAGCAGCAGATGACATATTTGTCCCTCCATTTGGCTCAACAATACAACTACCAATCGCTTAATTGCTTTATATTACAGACATTGTAGCCGCTTGTGGAAACTGTAATGAAAGAAATGGTTTCAAATTTCTGGCCTCTTACAGTGCCTGCCTCATGCAGACACTTGGTAGGGTAGAAAGAGCAAATACATGAAACACAAAGCAAACATACCTCCAGCTCCAAGAACTACAGGTTCTTCAAGTCTGGTGAAGATCAAGAGACATGAAGAGGGGACTTGATTTCCCTGTACAGTTGCTGAAAGACAGTGCACTAACAGTCAAAGGAGGCATTTCAGACTTGGGCTATGTGGGGTTCTGTAAGTAAAACTGAAGAATATAAAGCTGATAATATATAATAGCAGGGCACTGACTTTACATAGTGAATTCTGGCTATGTGCCAGACCAGTGGCCAGAGAAATGGTGACATAGAAGCATACCAAAGTTTGTGAAAGTTACAATCATTTGTGAGGAAAAAGATAGTAAAATTAGATGCTATTCCATACCTAGACAATTATTTCAGTAATGGAAGGAAATAATACATGAGTTACAAAAATAAAAAATCACTACTTCAGAAAATCAGTAACTTTGACTCAATAACTGCACCAAAGACTCTAAACAATATTTATTTGGAAAGAAAACAAATTAGCTATTCTTCCTGTAATGAAAGTTGAGAAGGAGTATGCAAATTATAGACTAGCTTGCAGTTTCGGGAACTATTTTTTAATAGTCACATAGAAAAACATGAACAATTTAAGTTTTCAGGAAGTCTAAGCACTCCTTTCAAGCCAGGGAGTGCCCACTGGAAAAATCTGTTTCTATCAGCTCTGTCTTCACAGCTCCCCATGGGTCTGATCATGCACATCCACCACCCCAAAACTCTGCATGACTGAATTATGCATGTGTTGCTTTCTCAACTCCACAGCAAAAACATTGCAAGTGCAATGCAAGAGCAAAGGACTTTAAAAGAGACCAGAAAACAGTGATACATTTCTTCCGGCAGACACAGCTTATTCATAGTTACTGTCAAGCAAGCCCAGAGGATGATGACTAAAAAAAAAACATAAACAAAAAAGAGAACCCAAGCCCTTTCTTTCAAATGGTTTCCTTTCTTCCTCCCACATGTATCCTTCAGCAACCAGCCAGAATAAGCATGCAATGAACACAGTTCACCTTGCTCTATACATTAAAACCACTTTAAATTTTCATGTAAAAGTATAGAAGGAAACCTAAACAACATATGGAAATGCAGAAGCAGTCTCAGCCTCACCCAACTGACGGACCAGGTAGAAAAGAAAAAAAAATAAAAGGAACACATCTTTAAAAAACAGTTTAATTCTACCAGGGGCTACCAACAATATAATGCAATATAATTGTAGAGCTAATGCATGACAACATTGCATGACAGAATCAATGTTAGTGGGGAGTTTAGTTGTGTATTTTTGTACCAACATGTCTTTAAAAACTAAATTTAATCTCAGTTTCCTAGAGTTTATAAACTTGTTTTGGAAATACTTACATTTCCGCAGTTGCAACTTATTCATTGTATTGCCATAACACTTTGGAGCTCTAATCACGGACAGGAACACACCATGTTAGATGCTGTAAAAACACAAAACAAAAAGAGTGCAGTTTAAACACATGGTGAGCAGGCAGTGAACAGATAGAGAAGTATGAAAAAATAATGAGGCATTAACAATCAATACAGCAAGCACAAGACTCGGCATGCCAGCTTCCAAATTGAGTTACTGGAGACTCCAAAAAATATCCTTTCCCATACCTGAGAGTCAGAATGAAAGAAAACATAGAGCTATTTATCCAAAAACAAAACAAGCGGGTGGTGTAAGTTGGTGTCAGGAATTGTTGAGAGTTGTCATCTCATAATGAATCATAGGTGAGGTAGCCAAAGAATGACCTTGAAAGCAAATCAAGAAAGTAAAGAGACGTGTGGTCAAAATTACTGGCTTGAGAAATGATCTTTGCAGTTGTGTTACGGGAAAAGGATTATTTTTACACTTGACATGACTGGTACACACAAACTCCTAACTCAAATGAAACGTACCTTTGGCAGGGTTATTAAGAGTGAGAAGGCACCAGGGACAGCATCAGCTGCCAACACCCTGCCCTGCCCTGTGGATTAAGTGCCCCACACAGCACGGGAACACGGCGTGGGTTCGGGGCGGTCATGAACTTGGACATTGTTCTCTGTGAGGACATCAGTGAGCTGGCAAGGGCAGGAATTAATTATGAGAGGAAGAAAGTGCTGGGGAGGTGGGCAAAGGGCTGGAAGTGTCTCCTGCCTTTGGAGTGGTGGGACAGCCACACACATGGTCTTAAGCTTTGCCAGGGGAGGTTTAGGCTGGATATTAGGAAGAAATTTTTTACAGAGAGAGTAATCAGACATTGGAATGGGCTGCCCGGGGAGGTGGTGAATTCACCGTCCCTGGAGGTTTTTAAGATGAGCCTGGATGTGGCATGCAGTGCCATAGTCTAGTAAGCGTGGTGGTGGTGGACCAAGGGTTGGACTTTATCGTGAAGGTCTTTCCCAACCCAGCTGATTCTGTGATTCTATGTGATAATGCCAGGTGCTGTATTTTAGCAATACAATTAAATTTAGATGGAGCACAGAAATTTTTATGGCACACAAGTGCCCACTGACTGGGAAACAGAAGGATTTTGCTCCTCGCTCACCATATTTTGATCTCATCATCATCGTCATCATATTTTGATCTAAAATCCAGGGATTGTGTCAGTGGCCTGCTCGGATCCCAAACGTGGAGGATCACACAGCAGCGACGGGAGCAACACGGGTTGCTTGCTGTGCCCAACCCAACTGCGACTGGTAGCGGGCAACCCTGAACCCGTGACAGCTCTGCAGTGACACAGCAGTGTATCTAAAAAATAAACAACCCACTGCACGTCAACAACACCGCCAGCGCAGGCGGGAGGGTGTGTGCGTGCCGTGAGGCCGCTGTGGGAGCTGTGAGCGTGCTCAGAGGAGCTGTGGGGGCTGTGAGGCGGCTGTGGGGGCCGTGAGAGCTGTGAGGGTCGTGAGGGCTGTGAGGAGCTGCGGGACCCCCGAGTGGGGATCCCCGGGCCGGACATGGCG